TGGAGCTGTGTCAGGGCAGGGTCAGGTTGGATCTCAGGGAAAGGTTCTTCCCCCAGAGGGTGGTTGGGCACTGACCAGGCTCCCCAGGGCAGTGGGCACAGCCCCAAGGCTGCCAGAGCTCCAGGAGGGTTGGATGATCCTCTGGGGCACAGGGAGGGATTGTTGGGGTGTCTCTGCAGGGCCAGGATTTGGACTGATGATCCTTGTGAGTCCCTTGGATCAGGAGATTCCATGGCTGGTGTAATTTGGTGTCTATCAAACGAGCCACACACTCAGTACATTTATCCCAGCTGAGAACAGACACCCTCTGCGTGGAGCAGAGACACTGGAACAGGCTGCTTCGGGATTTTCCAAGGTATTTTTCAATCAGTGCAGTTTGTACCAGCTCCTCAGGCTGCACTGAGTGGCCACGACATTCTTCTTCACCTCGATGCCAAGTGTTACAAACCCTAATTAATGAATGCGTGACTGAGGCAGAAACTATTCCAAGAGGAAGAGGAAATGGGAGATTCCCTGCAGTGCCTGCCTGGACACCCTTCTCTGGGGACACCTGCACCAAGGGCAGCTCCCTGGGAGCTCCTGCCAGCACCTGGAGCTTTGCCATCCCTCTCTGCCCGAGTTTTTTGCTCAGCCAAGAACAAGGAAAGTTTTTGGGACGACCTTTCTCTCATAGTCCACGTGAGTAGGAGGTTGTTTGTCAGCCACTGGGGTGGCTGGTTGGTCTCAGCGCTGTCAGAAGATCTGATCAGATCCATGAGGAGCTGCCTGTGCCCCACAGAGCTCCTGATTCCACACGTGTTCTCCATGTGGGCTGAGCTGGGGGGTGTGAGGGGAGCAGGGATGGTTGTTCAGCTGCTGTTGGGGTTTTGTTATCGGTCACATGAAGGAGTTGCTCTCTCCTGGGCCTGCTGACCTCAGACTATGTGCAGTTTGGGCTGCTTAGGGACTTTCTGTCCATAAAGGATGAATTTTAGTGTTGGCCAAAGTTCTTTTCTGCCCTGGAACCAGCCTGGTTCTCTCAATTCCCTTTGTGACCAGCTCTCACATCCCACCCCTGTGTCTATAAGGTGAAATTTATGTCCTTTGGGACTAAAAAGGCAAGTGGGGGGTGATGTTCAGCACCACCCAGATCCCTGCCTGTCAAAAGGAATCTCCTGTTTCTGTTGTACGACTCAAGCAATGCTGGTTCAGCAAGAGCTGAGACTAAAGAATGAAATAATAAACAGCTGCTAAAATCCAACTGCTCGTGCTGTTCACTGGGAAACTCTTTGATCTTTCCAGCTACAATCCATCCTGCTGGATCCACAGCATCCTCTTTAGGAAGGATTACTGTTGCAGGACTTTTACACTTTATCTCTCATTAAACTTTAATCTGTGTTTTGTTGATCCAAAGAGTTTACACTTCCTAAAACAATAAGGATGACAATTCTGTTCACATGGAATTTTACCCCCTCTGCTCCTGATAGCAGTTTTTAGAAGCCTGAGATAAGTTCATACTCCTCATTACTTGTATTGTTTTGCAACTACAACACATGCATTTTGTCTATGCCACAGTTTACATCTGAGCTCTTATCTTGGCTCTTCATTATCTGACTGGAAAATCCTGCTTCTCGGTGAACCTGTCAGCACTTTATGGCCTCTGCATCCCATAGAACACCCTCCTTTTCATCCTGCAGAGATTTTGGTTAGAGCAGGGTTGAGTTTGCAGCAGATCTCTTTGCTTTTGCCAAGCTGACCTTAAATTACTCCGTCCTGCCTGGCTGAAACTTTCTGCTTCACTTTTCCTGCTCAGCTGAAAGTGCTTCGTGAGACAGCTGAGTTACAGCTGTCCTGTCATAAAATATCACAGTGTAAATGTTATTTAGAATAGGATTAACTTGGATATTATAGGGATAGAGGGGAGAATCTGACAATGGGAATGCTCCCCAGGAGCTCTTTCTGCTGCCAGAGCTCCTCTCTCAGGGAGCGCCAGGGGAGGAGTCTCTGGGTGCTGGAGCATCAATTATTGTGTGATTTCTGCCTCTGCTCCAATTAATTTGTAATCACCCCATAAAAAACCCCACAGGGTGTTCAGTAGGTAAGTTGTGATCCCCCTTAGGAGAGCACCTGGGGGTCCAGGCACCAGCACCCAGCTAAAAACAGGGATGTGGGGGCTTTGGATCCAAAGCTCTAAGGCAGTGCAGGCAATTTATTCTAAATTAGTTTTTAAAAATATAAATCTGTATTAAAAGAACTGGGTTTTGAGGTTAAATAATCTTGTGTGTCCCTTGCATCCTGTCAGAGTGCAGGGAATTCCCTGGAAAAAAGGAGGCTCGGGGGGGATCTTCTCAGTCCCTACAACTCCCTGCCAGGAAGGTGGAGCCAGGTCTGATTCCAGCCTCCTAAAGGACCCAGCTGTGGATTATTTTCACCAGGATCATTCACCTTTTAAGGAAAAGCCTAAACCAAATCCAGGACTTCAAACAACTCTGAGGGTTTCCTCTCCTGCTGCATTCCTACTCTGTCAGGCTCTCATAAATCAGCATAACTTCACCTCAGCAGAGCTCTGGGGTAAAAACTGCAGCCTCTCTTATCTCAGATCTGCCCTACGAACAGGTAGGAATTAAGGAAGAGCCAAATTAAATAACACAGGTGTTAATTATAATCCTTGCAGTCCCCTTGACTAAGTGGTGCACAAACAACCTGCCAAATAATTCACAGCTGAAAGAGTTCCCTTCTGTCTTGTCACTGAGCACAGAGGACTTTAAAATAGTCTTTTGAGTCTTTTTAGCCCTTGGCACAGCTGAAACGTTCTCCTGGTGGACATGAAAAAGGTCCATTAGTTGTGGATTTGTGTCCTGCAAAGTGGTTTCATTTTATAAATGTGAATATTTAAATCCAAGGAGTTCTCTTTCTTTACCATCACACTTTTGGGTTTGTCAGGGAACCAAACCCTGATAAATTTGAAGCTTCATTTCCTGTTTCTGACGTGTCTTAACCAGGTTTCCACCCTAAATACAGAAAAAAACCTGGTAAATTCTGACAGCAATAATATTCTTTGCTACATGATTGTTCTGGAATGATCTACAGCAAATCCTTCCTGAACCCACCCTATGAGTCTCCCTCCTACACTGAACTGTTCTGGGAGGGGGAACTAAAATAAAGAACCCTGGCAAGGTGTGAGTTGGGATGGATCTGCCACAAGAAGGAGCAGTTTACTGCAATTAAGTCCTTTAACATCAGATCAAGGCAGCTTTTGTCTTATTTTTCCTTAGGTTGGTGGGATTTTTTAAGCTTAAATCATTAGGAACTGGGTGGGCATAAAGAGTTTTCCCAGGGTTTTTAGCCACCTTTTCCTCAGACAGCTGCAGCCTGGCTGGGGCCGTGCATGTGAGGGAACAGTGACATCAGGTGGATTATCCCGCTCATCGCAGGCACATCCCGGTTTTTCTATGGAAACTTTTACAGGAGAACGGGCAAGTGCCTGCCATGGTGGGATTGTATCCCTCTGGAAACAGTATGGAAGAAGGAGCCAGGCTTTTCTCAGTGGTATCCACCAAAACAATGCCAGCCAAACCCCAACCAAGCAAACCAGAAATCCATATATTGGGCTAAATTCTTGAAGGAAAAAGTTATGACACAATATTCCTCTGTAATTCCCTGTATTTAAGCTACTTCCAAGAGTAAAAGAGATCAAAATAACATTGATTCTATTAGAAATCCCCACCAGATCAGCATCTCAACAAGTCTTTCCCTCAGACTGGAGCCTCCCAAAACCAACACAGGAGGTGTCCTTTGAGTCACTTGGCACAAATTTCACAGTATTTTCCTGCCAATATTTCACCTGAATAATTTCCACCTGAACCTAATTTGGGAACCTCTGCAGTTACAGAAGGGGAGTTACTAACAGGGTTTTAAAGCATTTAAAGGTGAAATCATCACCCTTAAGCTTTTCATCATCAACATAAGACTGTTTCTCTAGAAAAAAAAAGAAGTTCAAATAGTGTTTGCTTACCCCAGTCCCCCCTTCCTGAGTATTTGTTTCCCTCAGTCACCCAGGTTTTGTGCTACAAGGTTTGGCTTTTGCAACACGACGTTGTCCTTCACCATTTTCTGTGAGCAAAAACTTCAATTATAAATCCCTGCACAGCTTCTGGCATGACTCTTCCAATTCCAAATTATCCAACATCTGGCTGCAAATGCATCATTAAGCACTTCTGGCTTAAAATCCTGAATAACTTCTGTCCTATAAAAGGAGAGGAGGAGCTTTAAGCTGCGGCTCAACCCACAGCTTAAAGATTTTCAGGACCAGCTGCAGAGCAAGTGGCAACTTTTTTCTATGTGAATTAAGTACTTTTTGTCAAATCATCGATCTGGTGTCAGGGAGAAGTTCTTGGCAAACATTTAATTTGCTGTGCACCCCCCTAACCCTCCTAGAGCTCCCAAAGGGACACTGCAGAACCTAAAATGAGGACTAACTTTGGTTTCCACTCACTGGAGAGCTGCTACCACGTGCTCCCAGGCAGCAAACAAACCCTCCCAAAGCCAAACAATCCTTGGATTCAGGACTTTCCAGACAAAACTCCTGCTGGAAGATGCTTGAAAACAAATACAGGCTGGGAACAAAGCAGGGAAAGGGGGAAAGAAGAGGGACAGCTCCAGTGACAGCACAGCACCGCAGCCAAAACTCCTGAGGGAAAACTTTGGAGAGGAAGGAAAAGCTTAAATCCAGTTTTTCTGATTTCCTCTTCACCTGCCAGCAACAGGAAATTATTATTCAGGGTGACACAAATTGTAGTGGACACTTCATTGTATTTACAGAGTTAAATCAAATGTATGTTCACAGAAATTCTTAGTAAAGCTTCTGTTTGAGCACCTCTGTGCAGCAAAATGAAATAAAACCAGATGATTTCAAGTCTGTAACATCCTCCCCCCACAATTCTGTCCCCTCTGGGCTTGCAGAGTGAAATTTGGTTTTAAAGCAAACTAAAAAAAAAAAAAATGGACCAAAAATACCTGTAGAGGTTTTTAAGAGTTCATAGCTGATTTATTTATTAATTATACACTGTGCATATTGCTTTTAATCCACTGATACAGGCATGGGTAAAGTACAATATTCATAACACTCCACAGAATTTTCTCATCAAGGGCTTTGCAGGGGAGTTTTTTGTGGATATAATGTGGATATTTGGAGTTCCCTTCCCAAGGGAACAGGAACTACAGGCCTGAGCTTCCCCAAAATATTAATACATGGAATAATCTACCAATATCATAAAAGGCTTCAAACCACTGTGCCAAGGAGACAGGGAGAATTCTCCCCATGTAAGAAATTCAAGCAGTAAGAATAGGTAGGCACTCTACCTAAAAATCCACCAAATTGGAATAAAATCTCTCCCTCTGGACATCCTTCCTTCTCAGTTGTCTCCAGAATTCCAATGGATAATCCCCAAGTCAGTCAGCTGCCCTTTACACTGCAGAAGTTGCAAGGAAAGAGCTCTCAGGGATGGGAGGAACTTCTGGAATTACACTTCAATGCTTGCAGCAGAAATTGAACTCTGATTGCTGATTCTCTGGAATATTATCTATAAAAAGTTAATTCAGGATCATTATTTCAGGGTACAGCAGGAATTCTGCTCCTTTTCACGATCTTGAGATCAGTTTGAAATGTTTGGTGATGGTTTGGGTAGTTTTTGCTCACCAAGGGAATATTTAGTGCATTGAGAGGGGCCCTGTTACTCTGTCAGCATTTCTGCTCCCTCCCCACCAGTGGCATCCTGAGAAATATGGAGATCCTCCAGCATTTCAGCCAGGCTGATCCTGGGGGGCCCATCCTCATCTGTGTCACTCTCCACTGGAATATCTGCATCTAAAAACACACAGAAAAACCCCAAAACCAACAGTTAAGCAAAGAAAACAAACCCCAAAGCAACCCCAAAGGAGGAAGGAGAAAAAACCCAAACCAACAACTCCAAACCAACCAACAAATCACAAACCCAACAACCTCCTAAAAACCAACAATTCCATGGCAATTCCCCTTGTGGAAAAACACAAATTATGTATCAAATCCTTCACCCAGCAGAGGGTTTGGGTGTAGGAGAAAATATGTTTTTCCCTCTCATATTAGAGGCAAGGAAACAAAAACCATCAGCAGTGCAGGGCAAATACACCTGTGAAATATATTTCTCTATTCAGGAGTAGTTCAGAGAATGCAAATACACAACTTCAGGAAAAATATTTCCCCTCAAACAGCCAGGATTTACAGTTGAATTAAGCAGTTAAAAAAGCCTTACTTCTGTAAATGTTGACATTCTTCCTTATGGCTTCATCCTCTTCCAGATCCTCCAGGAAGTCCTGGTATTGCCTGTGAAAGATGTGGAATGTCTTTATTCACTTCTCCTATGGATTCAAGAAAATTTATAAAAGAATCCCAAAGAAACAAAGCCCCACCAGACCTGCTTCTTGAGAGCATTCCCACATTTCCAACTCATTCCTTCTGCCTTTTTTTTTACCACCTATTAATTTCCAACTAGTTTTAATTAGTTAAACTCTCATTGCCTCATTGTTTTCTACTCAGCTGGAGGTTATTTGGAGTCTGCTGTTGCTGTATCAGCTGTCACTGGACAAACCCAGGCAGATACTGAACCTTTCATCATCTGTATCTGGGGCTTCCCTGTCCCTCTCCAGCTCCTTCAGCTTCCAGTTCCTGCGGCGCTGCCGTTTGCTGCGGTCGTAGCTCTTCTTGATCAGCACCTGCAGGGAAAACCAGGAAAAACCAGCCCCTATTTACACACTCACCCTGCAGTGCTGCTGGAAAACATTCCCAAAAACCAAACCAGCTCCCAGGTCTGCACTTGGGCAACTCAAATCAGGAGAATGGGCGCTCAAAGATTCAAGAAAATAGTTCTTAAATGCGACGCTGTTCAAATTTCGCTGTTAATATCTCCTCTTCCTTTAGGCACTAGGGAGTATTCCCTGGAAAATCGTATTCCCCACTAGCCCTGGGAAGAGCAGAGAAGTCTGTAAAGAAAAAGGAATTTTCTTACCACATCAGGAATATTGTGTGGGTTCATCTTGTTGGCAAACTCGTCATTTAAGTTGCAGTTGGCCAAGTCGAACCTAAAACAAAAATGGCTGGTTTAATGTATTTAATGTAAATCCACAAAACTGAACTCAGTGGATCGTGTTTGCATTAAAGGGCAGCACAGCCTAAGTTACAGCTCCTAAGAAAGAGAAACATTTCCAGATGAAGTCCAAACAAATGAAAATCCACATCAATACTGCAGCTGTCACAACTAGGAACAGCTGCTGTTCCCAAATTCTGTCCAGTGGCACTTCCCGACCTCCTGACCCCAAACTGCAACATCCACACAGGTTCTGTTGGGCTCACGACAGCTCCAGAAACACTCATGTTTAAGCCTGTTTGAGAATCACCTAATTTGCCTGATCCTACAAAAATGTCACTTTTTTCATCACTGTGGTGATTTGTTGCTACCACACAAATAAAACTTTGTTGGTGTTTTATAAATCCTTCCCACTTATTTATGTCCAACTTGTTATTCCAAGCTGCACTCTAAAGGCAATACTTCAGCTCTCTCATTGCTAACACAAGATGATTTTTTTCTGGACTAAAGATTTCCTGGATTAGGACCAGCTCTTCATGACTCCATCCCTTTCGCTGATTCCATTTAGAAATCAGACCAGTTCAACTTTCCAGAGAATCTGAAGAATTCAGTCATTAAATCATCATTTAATAAAGGCCAAGAAAGAGTACAGACCCCAAGACAAGGTCCCCAGGGTTCAGGATGTGCCCCAGGTGTGTGCAGCAGAAGTACTGATGATCCGTGTCCAGCTCCGAGGTTTTCCGGACCCAGGCCTCGGCCAGAGTGTGCTTGGGGAAGGAAAAAATCAAATTACTGGAATCAAACACTGCTTAATTAAAACATCTGCACTGCTGCATCACTGCTTTAAAGTACATCTGGAAATAAACTGGTGTTTCTACACCAAACATTCCACGTATCCATTGCTGCTCCTCAATTCTCATCCTTACAAAAGCAAGGAAATGGACATTCCAACCCCTTCCAACAGGAATTCCTGAAAGGCTGTTTCTATCATGTGTTTTGGTGGCTTTTTTTTAACTTCATGACTCTCAACCACATCCAGCTTTTGACTGAGAAAAAGATACCTTAATTCTGATCAAAAGGAAATGCTTATATACTTCCACAAAGCCAATTCAATAATTAAAGAGCTGCAAAGGCCATGATTTCCATAATGATAATAAAAAGCAGAGTTTAAGCTCTCCAGCAGAGAAGGATTTCTGAAAATGATCCCAAGAAGAGCTTTTGCCAGTGGCAAAAAGCAACAGCACAGGTCTGATAAATTCAGAACATCAATTCAGCTGAGGGAAGGGGAACAGGAGTCCCAAAACATGAATCAAACAGAGAATTCTGACCTTGTTCGACCTTGCACCTGCCCCAGCACCTTTTTTCTTCTCGTGGACCCTGTTGATGTCCATGATGATGAACTCCTCCAGCTGCTTGGGGTGGAACAAGCTGTTGAAAGGGTGGCGCCAGTAGGTATTGCCATCGACTTCAGCAACTGGAAAAAACCCCACCAACGTGGGAGAGAATCTCTTGGGAAAAAGGAACCGTTAACCAACATCAAGGCAGCTGCCAAACACATTTTGTTCATTCATTAAATATTTAGGGTGTGACCCACAGTGCCACCTTGTGCTACAAGAGCAGCAGACCTGTGCCAGCCAAATCACACCTCCTGTGCCTGAAGCACAGACCTTTCACCCACAGATCTTTTGATCACAGGAATTACTCTCCTGGATCCATCCTTATTAAAGGGATTCTGCTGGTCAAGCTCCCACTGATCAAAGCACAGAACTTCCAATATTAAAGTGGCTACAAATTTAATCCAGAGAAAAACTAGATGCCACCTAAGTGAAATGGAAGTGTTTAGAGAGACAGAGAACATCCATGAATTTAACACTACACCTGCACATTTTGCCTGGGATCTTATGGGATAAAAAAAGAAAAACAAAAAAAAAAAATCAAGCTTGGAGAGCAATGTCTTAGTTCACTATTAAATTTCTACTGTACAGATAAATGTACAACATTAAGGTCCAAGATTTTGTGGAAACAAATGAAAAGTAACTGTGCCAGAAAAATCAGCTGTTGCCAGAGGGCAGAGAAGAACCCAACACTCACTCTGCAGAGTTCTGGGGTCGATGAGGTGGATGGCACTTGTCACTCGAATGCACACACAGATCTGGCTCATGTTCCCCAGGCTCTGTGCCAGTTTTGGTGACAGACACACAACATTGTCCTGCAAACAAACAGAACATAATTTACACCCCTACTGCCTTCATTTTTAACCAAGTCTTTAGAAAATTCTCAAATACAAATTTTAAATTTCGTGTTTTCTGTTTTCTAGCCAGTATCACCCAGTAACTTCTGCATTTCCCATGTAGATCCCTCCCCACTCCCCAAAAACCACAATCAGGCCTCCATCACCAAATCCAAACTGTTCCCACTTCACACAACACCCTGAGGATGAGGCAGAGAGAAGGTACCTTGCATATTGGAACGATTTCCACAGAGAAAGTGCTTTTGTAGTTGTAGACATTACTGTGAATGTCATGTGAGATCAAACGTTGGGATGATTTTGATCTACAAAACATAAAACCAGAGCCTTCAGGCAGCCAGAAGGACATCACCTGAATTACAGGAGACAATCAACACAAAAAACCAGCAACAAAAATACATGTTCAACCAATACAAATATTAAGGAAAGAGAAAAATGCATGAGGTGAGTTTTACAAGGGTTAAGTGGGAAACACTGGACCTCTGCAGAAGAAATTTTGTCTCAACTAAAATACAGGTTCCTTTCACTTTCACTTACAAAATTATTTAAAAATGAAGGATAAAAGACACTTCCCAAAAGCTTCTGGGTACTCAAGGCAATAAATTTAAATGCTTTACCTAGATGGAACTGTACACTGAAGAAAGTCCACCATCTTCTGGGCCTGTTGCTTTGAAGAGTAATAAAAATCCAGGCCATCTGAAAATATGATGAACAAACCTATTTCAAGGACAATCTGTGGGCTGAGTGATCTGCTGCTTCTCTGGAGAGAGCTGCCAGCACACACACATAAAACCATCCATCCTAAAACCACTTTATTCCACCTCAAGGCCACCCAACCACCTCACTCACCGTGGATTTCCTTGATGCGAAGCGTATTTTGATGGAGCTTGTGCTTTAAAATCAGCTGCTCCAAATAGTAGAAGGTCTTCTTGTGCAGAGTCTAAAACCAAGCAAAGGTAAAACTATCCAGCTTATTTCAGAACATCTACTGCACATGCAGTATTTCTGGAGAATAAACATTTATATGGAGAGATCACCTGGAGAAGGGGCATCCAAAGCCAAAACCAAGTAACCAAAAAGATTTTAGAGTGCTCTACTTATACCAAATTACTTAAAGCTTCCATTTCTCATTTTTGTGTAACTGGTGGCTAGAAAAACGATTTCCTTTAAAGATTTAAATCTTTATGAACGATTTGTCCCACTGTTTCTAAACTACCTTAAAATACAGAAGGATATTTAGCGATTTGCAAAAGATCCTCCTGCCAGTATCATTTAAAAAAGAATGTGTTAATAATACTGGGCAGCAGAAAGTTTTTCTCAACTAAGATCAGTAAGAAAAAAACAACAACCCTGAAGACAAGATGTATCCCTGTGGCTGTCTGTGAGTTCACCTTTTTCTGAGAAATCCAGAAAAATCTCCCAATTCTTTGCCTGATTGTTCTGCCACGACCAAATGGGAATTCAGTTTGCCCCCACCTTTTGTCTGACTTGCACTACAGCTTTCCAGAAATCCTTGGCCTCAATCCTGTGACAGTCTTCACACATCTGAGACTGGACAACGTATTCCACCACAAACACCTGCTGCAGAACTGCTCCATTTATCACCTGAAAGACAAAAGTTTTAAAGGCTTCCTCATTAGTCCTGTCAAGACTGTCAATACAATAAAATAAGTGACAGACATATCTTTGGGGCACAAATAACAGCAGTATTTTCCTAACTTTACTGGAACAGACAATAACCTTCCTCCAACTGCGACGAGTGGCATTTTAATGACAAAATTTAGGCAGGATGAAATCCCAGAACAATAACAAAATCCTGGTTTTTGCCATAAAAAAGCTTTTCAAAAGTCACAGGGAGAATCCCGTGCTCCAGTTACCTCCTTCTGCACAGTCAGCTTCAGCTTCAGCCTCTTGGAATGTGGTTCTGTCCAAATGAAACCTGCATCAATCAGCCGGACCTGCCCGTGGGAAAGGACAAGAGCACAACCAGCTCCAACTACTTTAATTAAAAACATACATATTAATACCCTAAATCTAATTAATAATGCTTGGGTAGAACACGGAGGTTGATCTACCTAAAATAAAGGTGATAAAACCACGGTCTGTCACACCAGAGTAACTGTATATACTATTCAACATCTCCGGATGCCAGGAAATTATGAATTTTGACAGTAAAATGGTTAATAATATTGTCTATATTTAAGACTAACCCAACAGCAACAAGCTCAATAAGGCAATGATCTAATACAAACCTTCAGCAGTGTGGTAAAGACCAATTCTTTGCCTAAAACACTATCTCAGATACTTTCCTCTAATAATTCTCTCACCCTAAGAGATGCTTTATTCAACTTAAACCTGTAACTTTTGATTTAATCTACATATAGACCTCTGCAACCCTCTTTCATATTGTCACAAACCAGTGAGAACAAGTGTTGTATAAACAATTTAAAAAATGTTAATAAACTCTACACAAGCCCAAACAGCTCCTCCAGAAGGATGGAATCCTGCACAAGTTTGCTGGACTTTATGCAGTACCAACACTCTATGAAATACCCACGGGATCAGCTGCTCACCTTGCTCAGGGAAGCTTTGATTTTTTTCAGGCACAAAGCAAGAAGCTCTCTTGATTCCAAGGAGCACTGGATCCAGGTTCCTGGAGGCTGCAGATACCTGTGGAAAATAGTTCTAAGATCATTGAGTCCAAACACTTCCCAGCACTGCCAAGGCCACCACTAACTCCCAGCCCCAAGTACCAAATCCATGTGGCTTTTAAATCCCTCCAGGGATGGGGATTCACCCCTGCCCTGGGCAGCTGTGCCAGGGCTGGACAGCCCTTTCCACGAAGATGTTTTTCCTAAACCTCCCCTGGTGCAATTTGAAGCTGTTTCCCCTCATCCTGTGCCTTGTTCCTTGGGAGCAGAGCCCGACCCCCACCTGGCTCCACCCTCCCATCAGGGATTTTTTGGGAATGAGAAGGTCCTCCCTGAGCCTTCTCACCAGAGTTGTGCTCTTTTGCTCTCTACACCCTGAGGCTGATGCATTCCAAGTGCATTTTACTGCCATCCCCGCCGATTTTCCCACTTTATTTCAAGTGCCACAAACTCACCACTTAAATCAT